TCCACCCATCAGTCAGTTTAGTGACAGGATGTGGGTCCCTTCGGCCCTTTATTATATACCTAACAACCAGCTGACAGATTGAACTTTGGCTGGGCCCAACACACCAATCCCCCTAGACACTGCACAGGGACAAATCTTTATTTCCATTGCTTCCAGGAAAAGATGAGTACAAGAGTTTCTGGAGAATCTATACCAGAGGAAACTAACCTGAGAGGCCATGCTTGGGAGGAAACGATGGCATCCCACTTTGCCCCCACTGCCACTATGAAGCCCAGGGCTTGGACACACAGGCCTGCATCACCTGACCACAGGGGTGCATTCTGGGAAGGGAGTCCTCACACAAACACCGTGAAGGATTTACCTATGTGCAGACAGTTACAAATCTGCAGAGCTTTGAAGGCATGTAAAAATTGACTTATTGTCAGTAAAGTTTGGCAGTCTTTAGAACAAGCCACTTGAAGTATTTTTAAAAATTCTTTTAGCTTATCAGTACATGTGTGTAATTCATAATGTTTATATCCCTTGGGGGATGTTGGTCTCTGAACGTAGCATGGCTTAGCTCCTTTTCTATCCCTTATCCCCTCCCCCTTCCCTCCTTCCTCCATCTCTTATCCTCTTCCCCTCTGAGAATGATCTTCAAAGCAGACCCAACAGATTGTTAATTTTAGGAATTACTGCTCTTGCTACTGTTATTTTTATTATTGTTAGAATTTCAACAATGTTAAGTTAATCTCTCCAAATCTAAGATTTTACTTACAAATTCTAAATAGGAAAGCTGACTGCAAAATACTAAAATTTTCAAAAACTTTTCCTTAGGAAAAAGATAGCAGGTGATTTCAAAGGTTATAAACTACTAGGAAGCAAACTTTAGTCTCCAATGTATAAATTGAAACTATAACCAAGTTTAGAATGGCTTTTCCTATAATAAAAATAAATGCCCAATAAATAAATATCTACATAGCATTTTTACATAAATCCGCAAAGGAATAAAACACTAAGAAAAAAAAGTCTGTATAGCATGTTACTGTGCTTACCATGGTAGGCAATTTGATAACAATGCGCAGTCAACTGTAAATATCCACATATCTAAATATAGAAAAGTTGTTGTAAAAATGCAGACTAGAAGGATATGAGTCTGAAATACCCACTTAAGACGTGAGTCATATAACTGTGGAACCCAGGTCACCCCTCAGCCAAGGGGCAAGCAAGCCTCCCTAGCAGCGTGGCCTCAAGAGGCGCGAGCCTCTGTTGAGGAAAATGGGACCTTCCCTGTTCCGGAGCCCTGGTGCTGCAGGCAGCGACTGCTCCCGCTCACATGTGGGCCAGGCTGCTTGGCTGTCAGCTGTCATAGCAATGGACCTGCCAGCCCTGTCTTCAGGGAGATTCCAAAGGTAACTACAGTTTTAAGTCACAAAGCACAGCAAAGCCGACAGCCCAGAGCAGCACCCAAGTTCCACAGGCCCCCAAATGGCACCCAGTTCCCTCTCATGCGGGCTGTCCTGGAGACATTCTTCCCTTCCCCGCAAATGCAATACGTGGGGCTTCTCTCTGCTCCTCACATCCACCATCCTTGGAAGGGGCAGGGGCTCCATCCTGAGCTTCAGGCTCTAGGCCACTGCTTGGTCACTGTACCCTGAGAGGAGTAGGGCAGCTCCCCACGGGTGCAGGAGGCATAAGCGTGGGTGACACACCATCTCCCCACAGTGTAGGGGACAAAACTCGCCCAAGGCAGGATTCAGACAACAGGTTATGGAAGTAGAGGCAAGTTGGTCTCCCTTTGGGGTGTTTCATGCTGGGCCTCTTCTGTGATCGATTTGCTGGCTAGGCCTCCAAGGTTGCTTGAATTTCTTCATGTTGCATATGGGGCAAGAGTGAGACTAGAGCCATTAAGGCAAGGCTGATTGCTTCTCCTGTCAAGAAGGCCATTCTAGGCCAGCAGGATAAAGTCAGGCGCCACATAGAAACGCTGAATTCCCACATCTGGCTGCTTCATCTTAATGGCCCCTCCTTTCTCTCTTTGGAAATGAAGTGCTGGGTATGGTTGACGGTGAGCACAGAACAAAGCAGGGGGTACGTGGGCACAAAGGTGCAGGAATGACCCAGACACTGGGCCCACAGCAGGTCATCACACGCTCCCCTTTTCTCCCTCACAGCCAGGTCACCGAGCCTGACCTGGCACCCCACATTCTGGCTGCAGCTTCTCTCTTGGGGTGCACCAAGGTCTCATCCTAACCCTTCCGCTGACCACAGGCACAGGAATGCACTAACACAGCAAAACTGCTGGAGACTTGGAGAAAGAAAACCCCATGAGCAACACATTTTTCCTCCCTGTCCTTTCATGCAGTAACGTAAGGCAATATTAACTTTGCTTCCCTAGAGAGAGAGCGAGAAATAGAGGTCAGAGGCGCCAGCATGTGGAGGAGACAAGAAACCTTCCACACTGTTCAGCTGCGCCTCTCCCTGAAACACAAACTCTTTTTCTGAGGTGAAAGTAGAACGAAAGAGAAAAGGGCCTCAGAATCAGGAGACATGTTTCCTTTAGTGAACCGAGGTAAATCTTGCAAGTTTCACAGACCCTGCCTGACACAGAGCATAGCTGGGCTCTGTGCCTGGCCATGAAATGAAGCTCGTTCCCACAGAATGGGAAAAACAGAATGCCACAGCCCTTCCAATGGTTTTAGAAGTTCTGGAGAAACTAGGTTGGAAAGGATGCAAATTGCATTTCAGCAATATCCTGACAAGAAATGCTTCTCCTCCTCAACATCATACAACCATTCCTGATGTACTCTGGTCAGCCTCTGAGATTAATGAATCACCTACATGTGCCAGGCCAAGCCCTGGTCCTGCTTGAGCCCTATGTCAGATAACATGAGCTTGTTTCAATTCCCTGACAGTGGCCAACATCTAGCCACTGGCCTCCCAGACACTCTCTCTGGACAGCACGCCACCCCTCGAAGTCTCTGTGCTCCCCTTACCCTCAGCTCTTCCCCTCACCTGGCCCAGTCTCCAGCAGGAGAAAGATGCCCTCTAGGGACCCTGTCTGCCTCTCTTACTGGAAGGGACATATTGTTCATAGGTTTATCATCACTGTACACATGTTGTGCCCCTTCAAGCCTGTCTCCTCTTAGAGACAAGAGCAATGAGCTATCATTCACTGACTTAGGTGCCATGGTTACCTACAACATGGCTCACAAGACAGAGACACGAATATCATTTGGGAGCTTATTAGGAATGGAAGGCCAGCCAGGCATGGTGGTGCAGGCCTACAATTCCAGCATTCTGGGAGGCCAAGGCAGGAGGATCACCAGCTTGACCTCAGCCTGGGCAGTTTACTAAAACCTTGTCTCAAAATAAAAAGGGCCAGAGAAATAGCTCAATGTGAAGGCTCTGTATTCAATCCTAGCACAGAGAGAGGGGGTAAAAAAAAAAGAAGAAAGAATGAGTGGAGTCTCTCCAGCCCTACTTCATACTTACTTAATCAGGACCTGCGTTTTAACAAGCTACCTGTTCAGGCCATCGCTATAAACATGACATCTGAGAAGGACGGTTAGAGATGGTAGGTTGTCAACAGTTATTTTTCACATAAGCCAGAGTCTATACAAGTGTCCCCTCTACTTGCTCCAATCTGGACATGGCAGATGAGCACAGAGCTGGCAGGAACAAAAGAATCAAACTCAAACAAGAGTGGGGAGCTTAGGCCTAAGCCTAACTGTCCCATCTGGGCACAAAGCAGCGTGGTCCACATGTGACCTGTGTGTGCCACCCACAGCTGGGCCCAGGGCCACATGGCCAACACTGGGGGCTTTTGCCACCCCCACTCACCCTCCAGCCAGCATCATCATAAAATCTGTTGACCTATAGAAAGAGGGGCCAGAGAATACAAGAACCGCTAACTGCTTCTCCTTTCCCACTGCAGTGGCACCCACAGTGAGAGAAGATGGGCCAGCTTTGACTGTGTGCACTTCTTTGAATAGGATGTCCAACTTTCTGTAGCGATCACCCTATAGTTCAACAGTCCATGATGTCTTCAATGGGAAACACCAGAATACAGACCAAGGAGGTTAAATTTCTAAGACTTAAGCCCAACCCAGCTTACTGAAGAATCCCTGAGTCTATAGTCTATTTCCAGGCCAGGCCTGTGTGCCCTAAACCAGATGCCAGCAGCATCTGTTAAGCAAGGGGTGTCTGGGAGGCTGAGAAGTCACTCCAAGCCTTCTCTCTACTCCCATGGCCAGCAGAGATGGGGCTGAGATCTTGCAGTCAGCCTCTGTGGTCCTTAAGACTCTTCCCAGACCCATCTCACCTGAAGCTTTCTCCCGCTCCATCCTCCTATGTCCACTCAGCCCTGTCAGTCTCTGGCACAACTCCTATTTTGCTGCCTTGTTTTTGCTGTTCTTCTGTGTGTTTTCATGACCAACTCTACTATCTTCTGGCCTCGTGTTGCAACATTTCTTTTCTGTCTTGGGTATGTCTAATGGTGCATGTGGACATGTAAGGCGCTTGACCCCTTTTGGCACAGCCTGACATCTCTTGAATTTATCCCAGTTCTACTTCTGGTCCTAGAGGGTCTGAAGTCTTACTTCCTTAAAGTTTCTAGTGCTGGCACTGTAAGACCAGACAGTATGTCCACCTTTCTATCCTGTTGCTGGCCTCACCACCTGGCCCATCACAGACACTCAACAAATATTTCAGATGATGGGGTGAATTGCAGATATGCTATACATCAGCAGATGACAAGCTGACAATTTATTTTGTAAGTCCTCTACCTATTTCTGGACATACCTATGTTCCAAAGGCTCCTGAATGATCATCAAGTGCTTTGAAATCTGCAAATATCAACACTGTAAGGTGCGGTGGCCGACCTTACAGGTGATGCTTCCTGAATGGGGACATCAGAGAAGCGGGTTGTACAGTTCACCAGGAGTGAAGGAGGCAGAGGTGAGGAAGGAGGGGAAGAAAAGGGCAAAGAGGAAATAATCAACAAACAAATTAAAACTCACCTTGATCATAATCATCATCACCAATTGCTTTCTGCTGAAGTTTCTGAAGCTTTAATTTTAAAGTTGTTGCCTGTATTGATTTTAAGGGAGGGAAAAACAAAAACCAAATTACAATACCATTCAAACAAGCTCATTTTCTGAAAGCTATGACCACCTCAAAACTATCAAAAGTGAACTTATTCATTCTCTTTTCAAAATAGGCACTCAAATTGTACACTTTTCCAATGCCAGATGCATTTATTTCTCAGAAAAGAAAGTTATATGAAAGGAAAGTGTGATTTGAATGTGAAATACCCAAAAGAGTTTTAATATTAATTTAAACAAAAACATCACACTGTGCCCTGCGTGCATCGGACGAAGGAAGACAGATCTGGTGGGCAAATGGGCTCTGTGTGGGTGTCACAGGAACTCGATGAAGCAAAACACAGAAGAGCCAGCCTTCCTCGGCTAGGAAAACATACCTGTTACCTACAACATAAAAGAAGGGTAGGGCAGTCCTCGTTAGCTGGCTCTGAAGGTTCTGCTTTGGTGCTCCATTTTACACAGGAGCCTCCTGAGGCACGGGACGAGGATGGCAAAAGAAGGCTACTCACCCACTGTTGCCAGGAACAGAGGGAGAGCAGAGCAGACGGGAGGAGCTGGGGCCAAGACTGCGCCCTTCCAGGCCGTCCCATGGTGACCCACCTCCAATCAGTGCCCCCCAGCAGCACATTCAGCTGGGAGCTCCTCACTGGACACTTCTGCTGTTGAGCAGAGCATCCCCATTCATGGCCAAAAGCCCCACCTCCGAACGCTCGAGACCTCTGGGAAACTATTCCCTCTAAGCATAATGCCGGTGCTCAGGCTGACCAATAGCCCGGATGAGTGCCCTCAGCCTTGGCATAAGCAGGACAATAACAGCAGGCGCCTCTAACAGCCCCCTTCATCACATACGCTGCCCACTATTGGGACTTTCTTGCTCCTGTGAGAGAGGTCTAGGAGTTCCATACTAACAGAGTGCTTTCTGCCGCACCCCTGCTCTGAATAAAGTGAATCCCACTGATGTTCACACACCAGAACCCAGGGCTAACACTGGTTGTGATTCCCCTGTCCTGTGGCACACAGCACAGACCACAACTACAAATCAGCTATGTCCAGCGCCAGCATCTGCAGCAAGATATGAGTTTAATTTGACATGGGAAGAAGACAGACTTGATTTTGTTCTGACTCAAATGCTTTCCATCAGAGCTGTTTCTAGTGATGATGGTGACATAAGGGAACCATGCTCTGCACCAACCTGTCTGAAGCACTCGTAGGGCTGAGCACATTTAATCCTCAGCAACCACAGTCTACGCTCTACACAAGAGCATCTAGAGGCACAGGACAGTTAACTGTGTGGGTCGCACAGTTGGGAATGGAAAACACCAGGCTACACAGACAGGTAGTCTCCTTAACCTGCGGAGCTGCAGAATTCTGGGGGACAGCTTATAAATCCCCACACTTGGGAGCCAGGACCAGGTTCCCCAAGAGTTCCAGCCTTGCAGTCTGCACACAAACCCTAGCAGTAGCTACACCTGCTCTCCTAAGGAAGAGCCTTCTGGAAGGTTGTCACTGATTATTCATTTCTGAACTGAGTGCAGGCAGTAGAGAGAAAAGGAACTATGTATTTAGGGCTGGTACTTTTCTTTCTAAAACTGAAACTTGTGAACTCAGCCTGGTATGGTACAGCACTTGGGAGCTGAGGCAAGAAGATTGCTGTCAGTTTGAGGCCAGCCTAGGCTACATAGTGAGTTCAAAGCCAGCCTGAACTCCCTAATAAGACCCTGTCTCAAAACATAAAATAAAAACAGAATAAAACTCATCAACTAAAGTTAAATCAGGCCACAACCCCTGGAATCTCAGCTCACAGGCCCTCTAGGGAACCAGCAGTTCCCAGACCTGGCATAAAAAGTCCAGAAAGAACAGCACTGAGGGAGCCACATCTGCCTGGGGCCTCACAGATCTTGGTGTATTCAGAGCTCCAGATCCTCAGGAAGATGTATCTATATTTGGGTAAATGAGTCAAAAGGGAGGAGAACCACCATCGCCACCAGAACCAAGAGGGCCAGCGCTGATGGACTGCCTTGTACTCTTCGTGTGACTGTTGAACATAGTATGTCAACTTAAATGAATTAAAAGGGCTGGGCAGACAGCTCAATGGGCTAAGTGCCTGCCTGGCAAGAGCAAGGACCTAGGTTCAATCCCTGGTACCTCATGCCATGCTGGACCCTGAACCCCAGGTTCAATATGCTGGCCACCAAAACCAGGCATGATGATGCATGCCTGTAATCCCTGCACTGAGGAGTCTGAGCTGAGTAGCATGACTCTGTACCAGATAAACAAACAAAAATAATTGAATGGATTAAGAAACACCTGGTAGATTAGTAAAGCACAGTTCCTAGTGTGTCTGTGGATGAATAACATGTAGGCCAGCAAATGGTCCTCCAGTTGTGAGTGGCACCAAACCAATAGGAGGAAATCAAAAGAGAAAGAAGGAAGTGCGCCCAGTTTTTAAGAGCGCCAGTCTTCCTGAGCAGGTTGGCCCTTTGCTGCCACTGCCTTTAGTTTCTTCAGCCTTCTAATGCTGACTCTCTTACAATGCATTAGCAACTCCCCAGGGAGCTCCCAGGCCTTTGGCCTTGGACTGGCAGTGCAGCCTTGGTCCCTCTTGCTCTTCAGCTGCTGTCTTCTTGGGCTGAGAAGCTACTGAATCCCCTCACTCTTCACTGGGCAATCATTGTAAACTCTCCTGCCTCTGATCTTGTAGTCCTACTTAAAAACTCCCTTGCATAATTATATATACATTTTTTATTGATTCTGTTCCTCCAGAGAACCCTAAAAATGCCCCTGGCCAAGGCAAGCCTCTGTATGAGTATCTGCAGGGAACAAAGCTAGCCTTTACACTCATGCTCTATCGCCTCACCTGACTCAAAACTTAGATCTTTCAGATAGAGAAATGCAGATATGTTGCTGGGATTTGTTTAAAGATCTCTAAGACAGATAGTGAGGTTAAGCTCAACAGCCTATGTTATAGGGTAATAATATCATTAAGCTTCTCATCTGGAGGGTTAACAACTTAAGTTTGCAGGCCAAAAATTAGAGAAAAAGAAGGGCTGCAAGGACAGCCAACATTCTGGCCCTAGCCTTTCAAGGTCAGTGAAGACCCAGGACATAGGAGAACCCTATACTGTAACATCTTGTAACTCAGTTGTGTCCCAAATTTTCTGATCAAGGAGAGTATGGGGCCACAGAGGAAAGGGATTGATGATGTAGAGTGTGCCCTAAGGAGAGTCATATGGAGAGAAAACATTCTCTCAGGCTTTCACAGATAGCAAACTGGTCAAGCAATGGCTGTGACTCATCCACATGGCTGACACTGACAAAGGATCTACAAACTGCGGTACAGGGTTCCAGGATAAATCCTGAGGGGATTTGACTGACCTTGGCAGATACAAAAGTTACATTCTTGTTATATAGGTCTTGCTTTATCTTGGTCTTAACCATCCAGCAGAAAAGTATAAAAAGTAAAGCCATATTAATATGCTGAGCTATAAAAGGCTCACGTCAACAACTTCTGACATTGCCAGTCCTACAGATAACCCACTACTATTATGGACTACCAGACCATATTGGAATATTTTGCTGAATTCACACACCTACAATATTTAAATGGCAATAGAATACCCATCTCTGACAAAACTAAACAAAAAAGGAATACAAAGGAAAGACCATTTTATATCTGTATATACAAAATAGTTAAGATAGATATACAGCTATTTCCTCTTAATTCAATGAGAAGAAAGATTGTACTAATAGTATTTGGACAGGATATCATGTCTGTATCTTGTACTATGGGGAACCACTACAAAGACAACAATATGTACTATATTAATTATTGAAACTCCTATTAATCGGTTTTGAAACTGTCTCATTGCTATTTATTTCTCAATAAAATTAATTTTAAAAACACTAAAAATAAAAATTAAAAAAATAAAGATCTCTAGAATACATGGTTGAAAACTGCCTCTTAGACCAGGGAGAGTGTCCCAGGGACAGCCTCCACCGATGCCCTGGGCCTTCGAGTTCCTCTCTCTCAGATTCTCTTCTCCTGCCCAGGATATTCAAGTAAAGAAATTGTCAAATATCTGTGGCCTACCATCATGAGATTAATTACTTCACTGAAAAACATTATTTGAGCCCCTGCTGAGGGGCAGGAAGCACTAGGTATTGGGCATCTGCACTGTCTAGGAGAAACCCTTCTGGATGCAGAGCTCACAGCTGCATGGGGCATGGACCAGAGACAAACCATGATTGATGGTGTTGAGTGCCATAGCAGGCAGGGGCCACAGGAATGTAGTGAAAGGAAGGGTTCATTTGATCTAGAGGACAGGAAAGTTCTCCCAAGAAAGTGGTTGCTGATCTGTACTAAACAAGGAGGAAGGTGGAGGGGACGATGCCACCGTAGGCAGAGGGAGATGGAGATCAAAGGCAGGAGACACAACTTTCCCTGTCATCAGCTAAAGCAGCAAGAGGAGGAGTTAGGGCCACTAGGACCCAAGTGAGCAGGGTCTCCATTGTCAGGATAAGGAACCAAATACTGACCTAGGGCATCACAGAGCCAATGAAGACTGCAGGCACAGGATAACACAGCCATCAGTGCTGTAGAGCCAACTTGATTAGCCCCGTTGAAGATGAAGTGGAAAATAGACACAGAGAAAATGGACTGGATCAAGAATTCCTTGCAAAACCTTAGCAAAAGCTAAGGAACGTCTGAGCCAGGGCAGTGGCCGTGGCCAAGGATTATGGATTGGTGGCAAGATGGCATGGGCTCAGAGATGGGTGAGGTAGGGTGCGGTGGGGTGGGGGTAAGGACGTGGAGGATGCTTTGGCTCTGGCCAAGGAGCTCAATGGATTTGGTTCATTCAAACCTTCACAGGTGACACCCTCAGAGCAGATGTGGTGGGAGTATGTGTCTACCTCAGGGGCTCTAAGCACCTCCCAGAGAGAAGGTCACATCTCTACCTGATTGCATGCTCTCCCCAAGTCACAAGTCGGTGGGCAGCTGAGATCCCTGAGGGCCAGAACAGGACAAACAGGGATATGAAAGGAGACACCAGGCTACAGGGACAGAACTGGGAGCAGATGAGATGCATCTGCAGGGAATAACTTGGACTTCAAACTTTCTAGATTCTCCTTCCAAATGCTACATGAATGGATATTCTACTTCCTGCTCCTGTGCATATACATAAACACACTTAAACACACCATTTCAGAGTCTATGCAGCCCACCAGGTCAGTCTCCGATGTCCCTACAGGTTTCTCTGGGAGCTGCTTAGGGTAGAACAGCTCTGCCCAATCTGGCCATAGCCACCTCTCAGAGGACAGTGGCAGCACAAGGCCAGCCATGTACTTTCCAACTCCAAGGTTCCTACCTCCTCTTTAAAGCCTCAGAACAGTCCTATGAGGTGGTGTTGCCTCTCAGTAAGGAAACAGAGCTAGAGGTATTAATGGCTAGAAATGAAATCTCCTGGCTCTGAGGAGGGCAGCTCTCCCTGTATGGGACAGAGTAAGATCAGGGAATGGGCAGGTGAAGATCAGGGTTCCAATGCAGGAAGTCCCTGATTCGACATCCTGCACCCTTCTAAACTTTGACTATCTCAGTCTCCTCTGCCCTCACTTTCCTGTTTCAAAATCAAACTTAGCTGAGCAAACTACACCTCACTTGGCCAGGAGCTGTAGAGGAGCCAGCACTCCAGTGGAGAACAAGCCTCCGTATACTACACACAGAGATGGAAAAGAGCTTCTGGGTACAGGCTGAGATAAAGGAGACAGTACAGAGACCTCTGTGACCAGCCACCACCACAGGAGCTACTGCAAACTCCAAGAGCCCTCAGCCATGGTCCCTCCCCACCCTAAGCCCAGTGCCACCCTGAGCTCTCAGCCATGACCAGCACGGTGGAGACACTGACCTCCAGCTGCCTCAAGCCGCTCTGCAGACAGTCGTGCAGCACAGGCTCGCATCTCCTGAGCAGGGCATCCCAACCATGAGCATCTCCTGAGTTGCAGCCCCTGTCACCACAGCAGCCAGGCAGCGTGGGACCCAAGGAAGAGCCTGCATCGAGGTCCAGGGAAGAAAGCAGGTCCCACTCTGGGCATAAGCTGCTCCCTTCCTCCTGGGCCAAGTCTGTAGAGCCCCGGGTAGCTGCAGGATAGAAGGACCCTGAGAGATATCCAGGGTCTCCATGGGGCCTGTCTGAGCTGGAAGGCACAGCTCCGATGTTGGCACAGCTTTCATGAGGGCACTCAGCCTCTCTGGATGGCGGGCAGCGTTCTGCCTCTCCATGTTTCCCTGCAGAGCTAAGAGAGAGCTGAATGAAGCTGAAGCGGGAGGCAAAGGCTTCATGGGGACCAGAAGGGGCTGGTGGGGTGAAGAGGCCTCTTTGGACCCTGCAGTGGTGGCCACTTGCTTCTGCTGGTGCCGAAGAGTCTGTGGCGTGGGCGCCTCCTGCTCCTCCATTGCAGGCTGTATCCTGGCTAGTGACTGGGGTCTTGCCACTGTCCACAGACAAACGCTCTTGTCGAAGCCCAGTGTCCCCAGAGCTGCACAGCCTGTCCATAAGCCTGGTGCCAGTTCTGAGCTGAATCCCAAAGTGTACTGGGGCCCCAGAGGCTCTGCTCACAGAGGTCTGGGCCTGATTTAGGTGGCCCACAGAGACCACAGTAGGGGCTGGTGAGCTCTTGCAAGCAGGACACTTCGAAGAGGGGCCTTGACATTGGCCGCTCAGGCCAAGGGCACAGTGTCCAGCCCCAGATGCAGAGTGATGGGACTCCTCACCACTCACCCCTCCTGGGACACAGAATGTTGTATCTGCCACTGCAGGGAGGAACCTGATCCCAGGCCCAGGTATGCTTCTCATGTAGCCTGGCCTCCGTGCCAGCCGCCGCCTCCGATGGCATGCTGCCCGTGCTGAGCACTCTCTGCCACCTGGAAGAGAAGGGAAAACAGAAAATCTCACTGGCTAGCAAGAATGGGCCCGAGTTGAGGGGTCATCTCTGGATTCATCTATCATGAGCCAGGATAGCTGAGGGGTCTAGGCCTGAGGTTATGTGCAAATGCTGACAACCCTCAGGAGGTGCTGCTCTCAAACATGCAAATTATCAGCGAGTGCCTTGGGCCCTTCTGCAAGCAGAGGATTCGGCCAGCACTGCCGCAAGGCATGCAATACCCCAGTACAAACTCAGGGGTTGAAGCTGTGTGGCTCCTGGGCCTCCAGCATCCTGCCAGGACTCTTTCAGAGTGAGCTCTTCTGACCTGGAGAGGCATAGGACACAATGACCTGCAGCCAGAGTGTCAGCATGCGACACAGCCCAATGTCCAGGCCTGTGCTTCAGCTGCTCACTGAACAGCACAAGAGCTGTAAGGATATGAGTTCTCCAAGTCCCCACACCCACGCTCTGCTTCCCAGGTGGCTGCCAGGGACACATTTCATCCATCCTTTCATCTCCCCAGGGGACTGGAGGCCTGTGTGTGGCTTCCCAACCTGACTTCCTCACCCATATGTGCCACAGGAATGGGAGCGAAGACAAACACCTCATAGCCTGATTCAAAAAACGAAGGTACCACTTTTTAGCTGTGTGACTTCCCACAACGTCCCTGTGCCTATTTCCTTATCAGTAAAATGGAAAGGGCATAAAAGTGCCTAGCAGGCCTGCGGAGATAGTTCAGTGGTCTAAGCGCCTGCCTGGCAATCACAAGGACCTGGGTTCAATTACTGGTACCTCATGTTGTGCGGCCCTTGAGCCCCAGGCGCACCATGCCAACCACAGAAACCAGGCATGGTGTCGCATACCTGTAATCCCAGCACTGGGAAGGCGGGAAGAAGAGGATCATTATGAGTCTGAGCTGTGTAGCAAGACCCTGTACCAAATAGAGAAATAAATAAAAGATTTTTAAAAACAATAATAAAAGTTCCTAGGGCCGGCCAAATAGCTTAGCAGATTAAAGCACCTGCTTAGGCAGCACACAGCGGCCGGGATTCAATTCCAGGCATGCCATGCCAGTCCCCCACCCCCACCCCCCAGGCGAGCTAAGACAGCGATTGAGACTGGGCATGGTGGTGCGCACCTATAATCCTAGTGCTTGGGAGGCTGAAATCAGGAGAATCACTACAAGTACGATCTATGTAATGAGACCCTGTACTAAATACAAAAAAAAAACCACGAAAAGAAAGACAGAAAAATAAAAGTCCCTAACAACCATAGGGTTGTTATGTTAAACTCAGTTACGAGGCAGAGCTTTCCTGGCACCTGGTCCAACCATTCAAGAAGTTTGGAGGACTCTGGGTGGCCCATGGGACTCTGGTGAGCTGCATCCCCTGGCCCCCAACTGCAGGCATGGAGCTTTTGCTGGCACTGATCCAACCTTTTAAGAACTTAGGAGGATTCTAAGCAGCCTATGAGATCCTGGTGAATCCAGCCCACACCCACTACACTGAAGCTTGGTTGAGTACCAGCCACCCCTACTGGTAGTGAGAGCCTTGGTGCGGCCTGTCCTGCTCCCTATGATAGCAGAAACCTTGCCAGTAGTTACCCACGCTCCACCGCTCTGCCACCCTTGCTAAACCTGAGTGATTATTGGGAGCTTCAGAAATGCCAAAATGCAGCAGCAAAAGGCAATCTCAATCCTCCAGCTCTCAGAATAAATCCAGGGGACAAAGACATACAAGAACTTGGAAATCACATCCCTGAAATTTCTGAAATGATAGCAACTGAAGTAAAGAAACAAGTCCATCAGGCTATAGAAGACATAAGAGCAGAAATAATCTCACAAGTCAAAAAAGAAATGACAACAATTGTGAAAGAATTGCTCTCCACAGCTAAAGAAGACCTAGACTAAAAAAAAAAAAAAAGAATAGAATAGAATAGAAAAATGATACAAACACTGAATGAACAATACAAGAAAGAATTAAAATGCATGAAACAGATTTAAATAGATACCCAGGAAATTAAGAATTCCATTGAAAGCTGGTAAAGCTGCTTGAACAAAACTAAAGATACTTTCAGACCTCAAAGACAGCAGTGCAGCTAATGAACATGAAAGAAAAGACCTCACAAAACTAACAAAGAACCAGGAAATAACAATTCAGCAGCTATAAGACAATGTAAAGAAAAATAATGTAAGAATAATAGGTATCAATGAAGCAGCAAGAGACAGCACAAATGACATTAAAAGACTATTTGCAGAAGTGCTAGCAGGAAATTTTCCAAACACGAGAAAAGAATCTGACATACAGAAGAAGAGAGCCATATAATGGAACTCCAAACAGCCAGAATCAAAATAAATCTCCAGCTAAACAGAAAATAATCAAGATCTCAGAAATTCATCAAAATAATAGAATGTTAAAAGCTGCTAGAGAGAAGAAACAGATCATGTACAATGGAAAGCCCATCAGAATCATGGCAAGTTCTTCAACACAAACCATCAAATCAAGAAAAGCTTGGAGGGAAATATTTCAGGTCCTGAGAGAAAATAACTTCCAACCCAGATGGATATGACCTGCAGAACTACCTATCAAATTCAATGGCTAGATAAGATCCTTCCATGACAAAGAACAATTGAAGACATTCATGAACACCAAACCAACCCTACAAAGAGTACTGACAGATATTCTAGAAAGAGACAGAAACAACCAAATCTTCAAGAACAATAGAAAGGGACCACCAAACAGAGCAAGAAATTTTAAAAAGGGGGAAAGTATGGAACGTATAGCAGAAAAATAACATGACAAAGATAAGCCAATACATACCAGTTATAACAATCAATGCAAATAGCCTCAATACACCAATCAAAAGAAACAGACTAGCAGGGTGGATTAAGAAACAAAATCCAACAATATGCTGCATACGAGAAACATATTTAACTGAAAAGGAAATTCACAGACTCAAAGTCAAAAGATAGAAAATAATTCTCTATGCCACAGGAAACCAGAAAAAGCAGTGTGAGCTATTCTGGTTGCTGACAGTATTAACTTCAAACCAAAAATCAGTCAAGGAGATAAAGAAGATCACTATATACTTGTTAAGGGAAAACTGCAAAAGGAAAAAATAACAATTATAAATATATATGCATCTAATATAGGAGCACCTACCTACATAAGACAAATTTCAATAGCCATGAAAACTTAAATAAGCAATAATACAATTGGAATGGAGGACTTTAACATGCCACTGTCACAAAGAGATAGATCACTAGGTAAACTGAATTACTAAATGTAGATGACCTAGAATAGCACCTGGCATCCCTAAGTGTATTGGTTTAAAAAGATCAGTTACTTTTTCATATTCCATTGCCTTCATAAAGTCTTTTCATCCACATTCATTACATTTGCTCCCTACCAAGACCATGTAAGCAAACTAGGCAGGAATTACCATTATCCCCTTTATAGCAAGGCCACTGAGATTCAGAGATGACTCCTGAGCAGCCCAGTCTGATGCCTCTATCAGCCCATACGTGCCATGGGCTCAGGGCCCTACCATGTCACGTATTAGGCAAGACAGAGATACAAATACATGACAGGCAGCAATGGACACAACTTATAGGCACACAGCGACCCATAGTGAGAGGTGAGACAAACCCTCACTCCAGACCTGGCCATTCTTCATCCCAGATCACACATCGTCCCAGATCACACATGGTACCGGAATATACAAGACTTGTTACCAAGATCTTGGGGTGCCATTAGGTCCTCTAGAGATTTCCTAAGCAAAGAATTGAACACAAAAGCCCAAAAGTTAGCAAGGTTTGACATCTATTGAAGGGAGGGGGAAATGTATGTTCCACAGAGTGAGTACAGCCCGATTAAGGTAGGAAAAGAAGTACACTATTCAGGTGAGAGTGGGGCGCTGAAAGAGCTTACCATGGCCACAAGGTTAATGGCTGCCCTCTTTTGTACCATCCACTCTTCAGGCTGATGTCAGATCTAGTTCAGACTATTGAAAACCTGCTTGATTTCATATCAAAAGCATCGAAAAGAGCACTTTCTGATTGGTCCCAGGTGTAAGGCTTGGACACATATGTCCTGGATCTCTGTGATGTGCCCAGCCAGCTGGCCACAATCTAATATCTTGCCTTGTCCAGGAGTACACGTGGTCCTGGAAAGCACATGGTTCTGGCACACACACAATCCCAGAGCACACATGATTCCAGCATCTTTGTGGTGCTGAGCACATGACACTGGGCACTGAAGACCCCATTGAGCCAGACTGTGGTCTCGTTGATGTGTGACATCAATGCTAATTCTGGAAGGATGAGCTGCCTGTTCTCTGACTGAGCATTTGGAGACAACATAGGCCAAGACACACGCCTGCCAACTCCAAGACGTTGGAAAGTTGATGCCACCCAGCATAAAGGGATTTTGGAAGCTTACAGTACAGGGAAGATGGAAACAAAAACTCAGGTGGGAGGAGAGCAAGCAGGGTAACAGAGGGAGGGAAAATGTAGCCCTCCACCCAGGAAAGTCTACTCTCCTCCCATTTAGTGATAATTATTCGAAGCCTAGAGAGCTTTTCTTTGCCCCTCCCCACCCCCAAATTCAGATCCAATCTACCAAAGTTTGGGGCAACATTCAGGCTTGTTGGGTTTCTAACACCCCCCTTTTCTCTACCCTTTGCCTTCAAAACCACCAGGCAAGATAATAACTTAAACAGCAGGAAGACAGAAGAGTTCTGTTTCCACTTCCTTTGCAACAGAGGCCAAGGAAATTGAAACCAGTAGACATGATGAAAATATACAGAAAGAACTGTGAAGAAGGCATGGCTGGTCACACTTGCCCCAGTCAGATGGGGACTCCACCTTTCTCTGGTATTTCATCCTCCAAGGATGTAGTGCTCTTTACAGCATCAGAACTAGACTAGCCTGGGAACATCAGGCCAGGGCTGTGGGAGGCCAGGAAATAGCAGAGCAAGACCCAAAGACAGATTCTACAC